ATCCCATAATTTCTTGGGTGTTTTTGATATTTGGTTAGATATATTTATATATATAAAAATGTCTCATAATTTGTGCAAAAGGCTGTATTTATATATTATATATATATATATATGAGAGGGAACGTCACAAAAGGGGTCTTGTGTCTAGCTGGAAAATACAGTCTTCCAAAAGACGCAATCAATTCACTCGCTGCATCAAAAGGGTCTTAATTCTTTAGCCTCTCCTTGTGTGCTGTCCCTTCTCATCATTGTCCTGACTGCAAGCAAGGTCATCAATCAACCTCAGCTTTTTTGATCAGTAATTTCGGCTTTTATTAGCAAGAAAAAAGGAAACTTCGGTCCTTGTGTTGGGCTCTATTGTCCAGCTGCATGACGGTCAATTGGCGTTGTTGTGCGTCTGCGCAGCATGGGTTGATTTGCGTCTTTGGCTCTTAATTGACTTTAAAAACCTTGCGAATACTTCGAAATTTATGTTCCGAGTTTCAGCCTAGAGTTCCGTTATGAACAATTTCACTGCACCGCCGAGCAACGCCAGTTTGGAAAGACTTGGAACAGGTTTTGTCATTTCGTTGATTTTTATAAATGCTTTGAGCTCCGTTACAGCTTGTGTTCTGAATTTCTTGATCATTTTAACCTTGATCAAGACGCCATCAATGTGGACACCTTCGTATATTCTTATTCTTTCTTTAGCCTTCTCTGACTTTGGTGTTTGGACTCTGGTACAGCCATTGTTTTGTGTTAAATTATTTGCCAAAATGAAAGCATACAGATCACTTTCAGATGTGAGCTCTGATATAACAGAASGAAGCGCKTGGATATTCGCATWTTCCTCTTTTCTCACGATTACTGCCATCACTATCGACCGGTTCCTTGCTCTTCACTTGCACCCAAGATATCAAGAACTTGTTACAACACAGAGGTCCTTTATATCTGTGACCTTTATTTGGATTTTAGGCTTGTCTGGTCTTGTCACTCAATGGTTTAATATTGCCAAAATAATCTACCTTTCTGTTGTGGCTATTTTGGTGATTCTGAACATAACCCTTATGGTGAAAATTTCTCGAGAAGTGAGTAAACATTCAGCAGCCATCCATGAACAAGGGCAAGCAGTACAGGGAAGCTTGTACCTTCCAGGATACAAGAAAACTGTGAACACAATGTACTATATCATGGGTACGCTGGCAGTTTGTTATATTCCCGTTGTAAGCGAGGAAATGAAATCTTTTGCTACAGAAAAGAGCGCTATTGCGTCGTACTCAACTTACACAATACTGTATATAAACAGTGCTTTGAATCCAGTCATCTACTGCTGGAGAATACAAGACATGCGAAATGCCCTGTTGCAGCTGTTTCGAACCATGCGATGTTGTCAACAGCAACATTGAAAGTATATACAAAAATATTCATGCAGTTTTTTGGTGTACGAATTTCCAACTGTTGAAAGGTTGCCCTAATCAATGTGTGCAGTTTTTTCATTCAAAAAAAAAACAAAAAACAAAAAACAAAAAAACAAAAAAACAAAACAAAACAAAACAAAAAAACAAGACAAAAAACAAACAAACGAAAAACAGTTTCCTCCCTCCAAAGTGAAATCTAGTACCGACCTTCTTCAAAAAGGAACAAATGAAAGAATTTAGGAAAGCAAATGAAAGAAACAATTTTTCAAAAGCGAGAAAAAAGGAAGAAATGAAAAAACAATGAAGAATGCACTCGAGAAGGCAACGAAAGGACAGATAGATACGAAGTGCAAAGGAAAAAGACAATGAAGGATCGTAGTAAAATGTTACACACCGGAAGGATCTATACTGGGGCCACTTCAATCTATAGTCCATGGAAAGTATGCTTTGAATTTTGTTATCTACTGCAGAAGAATACAAGACATTTAAAATGCCGTTTTGAATATCAAAAACAGCAACAGAGAACATCAACAGCAAAACTCAATTATTCCGTGTTATAAATAAAGAATATAGGCTAGGAGACTAGGAAGTGACATTAAAACCCATTAAGTCAAGGAAGAACCGCAGTAAATGTGTCATACCAGAAGGATCTTTGCTGGGGCCACTTCAATCTATTGTCTATGGAAATAAACTTCCAATTTAGGGCATTTTGCTTTATTTCATCTACCACTACATTACAGTTCAGTTGTTATACCCTTCAGGCATTATTAATGAAAGTTTAATAATTTATCATTATTTTAGCTAGTAAAAACATATTATATATCAAACATTGTTATATCAATAAAACAAAACGTGGAAAACAAGTATTCATAAAAGCTGTCGGATGCAAATTGACAAAAATAGCATCAACTTTTAGAATTATTTTTTAACTCTATTTGCATGTTTCTTTAAGCATAGCGGCAAGACCAATTGACTTTCAAAACTCGAAGTAAACTTCGAAATTTATATTCCTTCCATTTGAGTCCATTTTATGTTATGAGCAATCTTACCACATTGTCTAACTACGCCGGCACCTCACGTGAAACAGGTTATGAAAGAAAGAAACCATTTTAGTGTGTTGACTGTATTAAGTCGATTAATTGCGCATGAACAGTTTGCAGGTGAAAATGAGGAAGCTGCTGTCAAATTTCATTATGATTGTTTAGTACCTAAAAGTGACACCAAATGCACTTAAYATCAGTGTCCGGTTCTAGGAAGGGTAAATAGCTCTATCTCCTGGATATACCCTCAGTTACTCCAGAGAATGTAGCTGATGATTTTAACTGTTACATAACTTTATATCCATCTTTCCTACAACTGTCATTTCAGTGTCGTGTTTTACGAAAAGTGGTAATTTTAATCAGAATTCAGCTAGTGTATCGCAGGTTTTAGCTTTCAGTGCTCATATTGATAGCAAGTAGCCCTCTGGGTCCTGACCGTTTTACTCTGAGTTTTTAATTTATGTTTCAATAAAGGCTGTACCTCTCCTTTAAGCCGAAATACATTGTCGGGGCACAGAAGCAAACATGTAATATCTTCGCTGCTCGATTTGAAAACTCATTAATAATTCACAAATTTTACACCAATCGGAGTGCCTTGACTAAGCTATCCAAAGATACTTAACTCACTTATAAACGTTATATCATCACAGACATAATATTCCAGCCTCTTGATTACTGACTCTCATATCAACTGAAAAGTTTGCAAAAATTCGT